CACCGCTACGAGTCCCGGAGCCGTGTCTTATATTACTTGTGATCTATTAAGAAGGCTAGTCACTTGTAATAATATATATAATTAATTATGATATTTATTAATTATATTATCTTAGCATATAATATATAAAAAATTAAAATTTTTTTTGCTTTAACCAATCTTCAAAATAGATAATTAGATTTGTTGATAGTTTTAATTACTTATTTTGGTAAAATAATATATACTACTACTATTTATAAACAAATAGTAAAAATTATTAAAAAATTGGCTAACTTTGTAGCTATAATTCTTTTTAATTTTATTATAAAATTACTTTTAAAATTTTATAAAAGAACCTCTAAATGCTATAAAATTTGCAAACTTAGATTTAAAAATTAAACCAACAACTTCTTTTTTCTAAATAAGTCAAAAAAGCAAAATTTATCTAAATTTTATATATAAAATTTAAATATATCAATCATTTGACTTATAATTAAAAATTTCATGTATAATTTGCATAACAAATTATATATCTAATATATATAGTGTCTATAAGTAAATTACTAGAAATTTTCAAATTTGCCAAAATTTTCATATGTAGGTCCTCAAAAGTAAAAACTACTGAATTTGATAGATAGTTAAGTTTGAAATAATAAAATTTTGATCAAAGATATCTCAGCAACTACAATCAATGAATTTTTTTTATTTGAATTCTACAGATCTGTAAAATTCAAATAAAAAATTTTTTATTGAATTTGGTTAAGTGGTTGCTGAGATATCTTTGATCAAAGTTTTATTATTTCAAACTTAACTATCTATCAAATTTGGTGATTTCTACTTTTGAGTGCCTATATAATAATCTTTTTTTAATATACTAAATATATATATTTTTTGTAATAAAACTTGTGTTTTTTAAAGCATAATTATATAGATTTTTTTATACTACAAAAAAACTTAGTAAAAAATTAAGTATAGAACAATAAAGCTATATTGTTAATACTTATCTGTGTGGTGTTAAACTATATAATATTTTCAAAGCCTTTGGTATCTTGAAGTTAACAGTATATAACACTATTAATTGTTATAACAAAACAGACTCAAAACACCCAAGCAAGCATTTTAGCCCCCAAAAAGCTCTTTCTAAACATGACAAATATTTTTTAGTTCATATTACAAAAAATAATTATAAAGTACTTCTGGTAGCCACTACCAATAAACTTAATATCCAACTTAAAACAATGCTTACTACTAAAACCATCTAAAAGTATTTTTACAATTTAGGCTAGAGAAGCTGCATTGTATATAAAAAGTCTTTGTTGGACAAAAAAAAAGCACAAGAATGAAAAAAATAATATGAATATTTGAATTGAGTAAATAGTTATTTTTACAGATGAGTCATGGTTTTGTTTTTATAAGTCAGATGGTCATACAAGAATTTGGTGTCAGGTTAATGAAAAATACTATAGAGAATGTATAAATAGTACTGTGAAATTTGGTGGTGGTTCTGTTATGTTTTGGGGCTGTTTTTGTTGGTGGGGAGTTGAACTGTTAGTTGAAATTAAAGGTAATATGAATTCAGATAGTTATGTTAATATACTTGCAAACCATTTTATTCTCTGGGCAAATTCTTTGTCAAATAAACATCCTGATAAAATAAATTTAATATTTCAACAAGATTTAGCTTTATTCACACATCTAAATATTCAGAATGGTGGATGAAATCGCATAGTTTTAATATATTAGATTGGGCACCGCATAGCCCTGATTTAAACCCAATAGAAAATCTTTGGGAATGTCTTGATTCTGCAGTTCAGTAGTAGAAACCCGATGCCTACAGAATTAGAAGAATTGGCTAAAATTGTAAAAGAATAGTATGAATTACCAATTGAATATATTCATTCACTTATCTGTAGTATGCCGAATAGAATGAAGGCAGTATATAAAGCCCGGGGGTGGCATTGTAAATACTAAGTAACGTGATTTATTTTTATTTTATGTAATTAAATACATTATTATATAAAATATAAATAAAATAAAATCGTATGCAAATTTGGCCTCTTAAGTGTTGCATATGAAATTTCCGGTGATCTACTTCCGGGCACTGTATCAGATACGTATACAATTAACTAGTATTTTTCTTAATGAGACCTTGCTCTTATCTTTAACTAGTATTTTTCTCAGCATGCATTCAAATAAAATTTATAAGCAAATTAAAATTTTTTTGATTGAAACAAAAAGTTGCTAACACGTTTACTTTATTCAGCTATTTCGCTTTTCATGAATACGCCAATCGAGAAAAATTAAGAGCCCGTGCAGTGTTTAGTTATAAACGCGAAGCCTTCGTTTATTCTAATGGTAACGATTTTTTTGATCTTGTGGCGGTGCCATTCAAGGGCTGCGTAATTCGTCTATAATCAGGACAGTATGGGCTTGGTGCTGGGAAAAATGACGAATTTGACAAAAAAATAATAAAAATTTAATTATCTCTGATCCGAATCATATGATTTTAATAACATTCGATTCTCTCATCGAGACGTACCAAAATAATGTAATTTTAATCGATAGTTCACGAGATGGAGATATTAATTTTTTTATTTTTTGTCAAGTTCAAGCACCAAACCCATATTTTGCTGCGTTCAATCAGAACCAGTGGGGAAATTAAGGCTCGTTGTAAAGTTACCAATATGTATGTACGACGTAGGTACCAGGTACAATACGTACGTACTGTACAGTACTATCAGCTATAACAGATCACGCAAGAGTATAATTTTGAATTTCGGCCCGAATTAAACTTAATGTGGGCGCGATTTAAAATAACGCCATCCCTGTAACATAATCATGTGGTGAACTTTTCAGAAACGACCAAATATAAAGAGAGCTTGTCTAGTAACCGATCTTAAATTATCTAATAAAATGTCTCAATATACAAATTCTTCTGGCGATATAGATCCCTTTGAAGCCCGATTACATTTTAATTCCATACTTAAAAAAATAACTTCCAGCCAGCAAACTATTCAAACATGTACAACCTTTGCCCTTAGACACCATAAGTATTACGAGGATCTATACCGATGTATCATGGAAGTTATGGAAAATGCCACAATTATGACTAGAATGAATCTCTTTTATTTTTTTGGACAGTCTTTGCGTAAAATCTAAAAAGGTTGAATTTAATAAATATATTGAATATATTCAACGTGATTTAAAGAAGATCGTTGTTGATTACGTTTGTGAAAGAGACGATGGGTGTTTTAATTTAGTTAATACTTTAAAAATTTTGAGTAATTGGAAAGAAAAAAGCTATTTTGATATTTCGGTTATTGAAAGTACGGAGCGCGTTCTATTAGATTGGAAGAAAGAACCGAATTATCCAGCAAAATTAAAATTATCAAAACATGATATTTTGAAAAGAATAGAAGAAGACCGAGAAAGGGCGAAACATCTTCGAGAAGATATTTGGTGGGTGGATAAAAGTATCCCGGATGGTGAAGCTCTTAGTTTATGGGAGGAATGTTCAGATCTAGATAAGAATGATTATTTGGAAATTTTAACAGAAAATTTCAAATACCAACCAGACTATCCGTGGCTAGATGTGTATAAAAAAGTAAAATTATGGAACGAAGAACAAAAGCAATTGGAAGAAGAGGAATTAAAGGCTCGTCTTGAAGAAGAACGGGCACGACAAAAACTCGAGGAAGAAGAACGGGCACGACAAAAATTTGAGGAGGAAAAACGAGAGCGACAAAAACTTGAAGAGGAAGAACGGGCACGACAAAAGCTTGAGGAGGAAGAACGGGCACGACAAAAGTTTGAGGAGGAAGAACGGGTACGACAAAAACTCGAAGAGGAAGAACGGGCACGACAAAAACTCGAGGAGGAAGAACGGGAACGACAAAGACTTGAGGAAGAATTAAAGGCTCAACAAAAGATTGAGGAAGAAAGGGAGCAACAATTACTTGAAGAGGAAGAACGAGAACTACAAAAACTTGAAGAGGAAGAACGGGCAAGACAAAAAATTGAGGAGGAAGAACAGGCACGGCAAAAAATTGAGGAGGAAGAACGGGAACGACAAAGACTTGAAGAAGAATTAAAGGCTCAACAAAAGATTGAAGAAGAAAGGGAGCAACAATTACTTGAAGAAGAAAGGACACGACAAGAACTTGAAGAATTAAAGGAGATGCAACAAAGAGTAGAGAGAGAAGAATTAAAAGAACAACAACAATTAGTTGAAGAAGATGATCATAGTTTTAGATCGATAGGAACGAAGAGACAGCACTGTCTTGATGACATTCTCAATGATGATGTTCATGAAATTAAGAGACTTTCTAAGAAAGCTCGTACACAAGATTATCACAATGATAATCACTTAGTAATTTCTGCGGACAATTGTGGCGATGAAAATAGTTTCAATATTAATGAAAATATAGGTTATTTTTCTAAAAGCCAAGGAATCGATGGAACGGGGTATATATCACAAAACGATGATGATAAACCCTTAGAACTAGAAACTGCTGACGATAATCAGCATAATCACTCAATAAACAATAATTTTGGTAAGA